TTAAATATTGTAATGTTTCAAAAAATTTTGTCCTTGAGATTTACATTTTTCACAAGTATTAAAATAATTGTTATAGCCCACATAAAAGATTGATATAAATAACCATCAGTTACCAATGGTATTTATAAGTAAAATAATTTTTTCTCGCCAAATATCGACGGAAAAGTAATCTGTACACGATTGTACATCGAGAATGCAATTATCAAGTGCGTGCAAACAGGTAGAATTGGGAATTTAGTAAACGAAGTTGTCCGCGTACGCGACGCGTCAACACGATCGCGCAAAAATCATCCCCCCAGACCCTTTCCCCCCTTTTCTTCCTGTCTCGCCCAATATTAAATTACGTATCGCCTTTCGCGTTTATAGCAGCGATATTTCTACGACGGTATGCTCGGCAAGCTATGCCTTCGCTTGCTTTTTCGCGAAGAGTGCGCGGCACTACATGAAGTGGAAAATTGACATAAACTGTTGCTCCTGGCACTCTTCTTCAGCTCCCCAGTGCTCGGAGCATCGCACGACGCGTTGTTGCGGTTGTATAAGGCAGACTTTTCACCGGTTCCCCTCTTATACAAGTCACCATGAGACACCCTCGAGACAAGTACGGTCTTTGAGATTTACTCGACACATTATCTGTATTTAAGTGAATTCTTCGATATTATCTGGATTGTTCTTTACCACAATGTGCGAGACGATGATTTTCCTAAGGATTATTCTCTTGACATGAGTTTATTTTCAATATCGCGCGTAAGAGAAATTTAATTTGTAGATGAAAACGCGTTAAATTGCTTCGCACATTCTGTAAAAGTTTAGTCACGTAAGTTACTCGTTCTTATTTAAACTCCCTAACTCTTTCCTTCTTTCTCTCTCCCTTCTTCCTTCTCTTCTTTACTCTAGAGGAACTCAGACTTTTAGTCCATGTTGTAAGATAAGAGTTATAATTCTGCTGGAATTCCATTATTCCTTTCAGAAATAATAAATCAGTGTCTGATGAGACTAGGTTGGCCAGTCAGCAATTTCTCGCGATGTCGCGAATACAAAAACCTTAAGATCTCCTTTCTTCTTTTCTACTTTTACTAACATATATACATACAATATATCTCTTGAGAGAAATTGGCTGATTCCGTTTGCTACAATTTTGATTCCATTATCTAATTTCAACGAATCTAATTTCGATTAAAAAAAGAAAAAGGATATTGTTTATTTCCGCAATATTTTGAAGCGGATACTTTATTATGTACTACATCCTTTTTAGTAACTATTTTTTTTTACGAAGATAATCGGATGAGAATAGTATAGAGTACATCGCTTTATATTTCATAAAGTTGCTGATCTCTTTCATTTTCTACTAGAAAATAAAATCGATTTTCCTCGCAGAAATTTACATTCTCGATTGCTTATCGTTAATATTATATCATATAAATATTATGCTTCACTTGGAATACAATTTAGATTGTTACAAAATAATCTTTATCGTATTTTTCACGCATATTTATATATTGTAAACACTATATAAAAGAATTTGTAATAGATTTATAAATTTATAATAAATAGGGCGAATTTTTTTTATAAATTTTTTGTTTTCTTTATTTTTTTATATTATTTATTTTCTTACAATTTTCTCATGTGCAGAAATTTTTATATCACGTGCGAATTTTTTTATACAAATTTTGATTTCCTTATTTCTTTTATTTACTTTATTTCTTTATATTATTTATCTTCTTACAATTTTCTCATGTGCAGAAGAAATTTTTATAAATTTCTTATTTTATCAATTTTACTCATCGATGATAAGAAATATAATAAAAAACATCAAAGAGCTTTTTATGTTGTACAAATTACTAATTAACGAATCAAAGCGATTATCACATCGAATATCTTATGTTAGAATCGTTGCGCGGCTTGGCAATGCTGACACGCGACACGTGACCGGAGACTTGTCGCAGATATTAATTAAAATTCGCGCGGGCACTCGACCTGCATAATGAAGAGATCTCCCGCTCTTTAATCACCTCCGCGTCACATGAAAACCACCCCGACAACGTCCGCGCGTGTGCGCGTGTGTATGTAACGCTCGTATAAGCATGCTTCTGTACGGCTCTGTAAGTTATTCGCCTTTAGCTTCTCGCTCGATTCTCGTCAAGCGAGAGAGTCCGTCCCAATTACATGGCCAGGTTAAAGTTTCTACAAATAATACGGCGAAAGTTGCGCCGATCTTCCCTAGTCTCTTATCCATTTCCGCCATTTCCGCTTTTCAGAGGCGCGAGGAATAGTCTTTCTTTCGCGACGCGATTCACTCGCGGCTACGTCACTCGTCGGACTCATTATCGCGATGCAGCTTCATTTTACCGATGTCGTGTCAATTATCGCGCAACGGAAGTATCTCTCGTCAAGCTACTTCCTCTGCATAATTAATAGAGTTCGACAATTGACAAGACTTTGAACAAACGAGGCCTTATTGGCAGAGTAGATGCGGAAACAATTCGAAAAAATTCCTAAAATGTCTTTCTTTTATGTATTAATTGTCTTGCCACTTGTCTAATTATCTTTTTTACTATACATATGAAATAAGATTTTTAAAAAATTTGAAATAATCATTTAGATGTGACGCAAGTTTTTCAAAGACTTTAGATATTATTTCAAGTAAAAATTCTTGCAAATTTTTCTAAAATTATTACTTTAATAATTGATAATTTTAATTGTTGATTTTATAAAATAAACATTTTCTATACGTTTGTATCTTTAATTTTCAAAGAAATTAAATTTGGGATAATTTTGATCCGAAAGTACTAAATATTATTTGTATGATTGTTTCAATAAACTGTTGTCAATAATCATAATTTATTTTTTAATTAAAAATCTATTTCTATAAGTAATTATTTATATATTATAATACGTTTTATGTCACGCGTTATTAAATTTACTATTTCTAGAAAAGTCAGTACATATGATTCTGATATGTAACTATTCAAAGCACGCCTGAATGACAAAGAAGATTTTTGATTTCGAGAATCCGGCTCGGACGGGCCATTTCATTTTGCGACGCAACTGCGAACGATGTAGGGAAAATTTGGAATGTGAGTTCGAAATGCAGTCTCTCTGTACAACCGAACACGTCCGACCACATACACGCATGTTGTTGCACACGCGACTACCGGGCTGCTTTGGCCCCCTAAATAGTGAAGTCGATGGCGGGAGTCCAAAGAGAATTTTCTAGTGATGTACACCCCTTTTGGTTACTTGGCGAGCGAGAGTCGCTTCGATTTACCTTTAAAAACCATCCCACGTGCATAACATATGGTTGTCGGCCGCACGCGCGAGCGCTCTTGAATCTGTTCCGTCTAAAAAAATATACACTCGTCAAAAGAAGTGTTTCATAACTCAAGAAAAGACAGAATAAATATTACTATAATTGCAGAATTGCAGAAATAATTTAATAAGCTCGGATTTCTCTTTTCTCTCTCTCTCTTTTTTTCTATAAATGAAATAGATTTCTTTTCTCTCTCTTTCATTTTATTTCTTATTCGAGTACAAGATATGCGTCATTCGGATCTGAAATCGAATCTGAAATTTACAATAGCACCATTATGATGAAAAAAAAAAAGAGAAAGATATCTCGAAGAATACGTTATCGATTTTTCCTCTTGAAATCCCACGATAACGTTTGAAATTGTGGGTATTTTAATAAAAATTAAATCCTTTCACAGAGAACGAGGAACATTTTCCAAGCCAATATGTCGTGTTGTTGCAGTCCGCGAGACTTGCGCGAGAGATTACGACGATAAAACGAATTTTCGTAAAATATTTCGACAAGATGTACGACCACGTGTACGCGCGCGTTTCACACGCACACCGAGGTTACCGTCGCAATCTAATTTGATACTATAGAAAGTAGCGGCGCAGTAACAAAGAGCGATGTATCGCGTGTATAAATTCGTTTTCGCGACCCACCCAGCCCATTATGCGAGCTCGTATCGTGTCCTGCGCGCGACACCTTCGCCGCAAATGCGAGTCTCACGCATGAAATAACGTTACGCGCGACGAAGAGATGCGATCGCGGGCGGACAGGTGGAAGGAGAGCTCGATCTCCATAAGCATCTCGAAATCTTGTCGTAGATTCGATCGCACACATGCCCCACCCTCTCCCCCCGCACGCCAAGGACTGTCTATTCTCCTTTACCCGCCATCGAGACGACGACGGTGGTCGGAACGTAGAGACTTGAAAAATTGCATTTTGTATTCAATAACTAAGCTGTCACGCCGACTGGTGAGCTTCTATAACTCAAAGCGCATCCACGCAGCCACGCATACCGCCGCCTCTAGATCGATCGATCCTCCTTTCGGTGGTAAGCAAGGAAAGGGAGCTTGAGAGGGAGGAAGAGTTGGGGGGGGGGCGGCACGTACCGTACGCTCTCTTTCCCCCCCCCCTTCCCAACCCCCCCTGGCGTACTCGTGCAAACTCACTGACGTTGTGATTTCAAAAAATTCCGCTGTCGAACTTTGTATCGGATTTGGTCGATCGAGTTCCGCCATCCCCCTTCATCTTTCGGCGCCAATGTCTGACAGATCCCGAAACTGTCTCATATTCGTCAAGCGAATTTGGCGCAAGATTTTCTCGCCCCGTTGTTGTACGCGTACGAGTGTAAGTCTCGCGCGATCCGATTGTATTAAAATTTAATTAAAATACGACGTGACAATGAGATACAATGGTGTGCAAATAATATGTTGTAATGCTGTCGGAGCGATGCCGGATGTAGAATGTAATTAACGCGGGAATTTACGCATGATTTTGATTCCTTATCAGTCCACAAGCGTAATTAAATGTGCATATACAAGGTTATTAGTTAATTATTACATGTATGTTAGCCTAGACATTTTATCGCGGTTTTATTATAATATGGTATACTTTACAGATACCATGAAATTATATTTCACATGTATGTCGAGATACGTGCGCACACGCATACATTTTATATACTAATTATATTATTTATTTTTTTCAGTTTCCACCATCCCTGATCCTCAATTCGTCGACGAAATAGGAAATATTACGGTACCGGCGGGACGAAATGTCAAACTGGCGTGCAGCGTGAAAGATCTCGGATCGTTTAAGGTATGTAGAAAAAATATGAAGTTACAGTTGTTCGTTTTCTTCCAATTCATTCGTGTTCGCGAAATGTATTCGTTTTATTTTTTATCGATTTAATCATATTTATGAATTGTAATACATTAATGGAGTCGAGAATAGTTTATTGAATATAATTAAAAAGAATTAATGAATCAATAACATCAATATCTACTTGTATAACAGCTTATATTAATATATATATATATATATATATATATATATATATATATATCGAAGATCAAAAAAATTTAATTATCTTTATTAAAACGAGCTTCGTATTACAGACTTTTCGGATAAATATTAAACATTAATATTTTGTTCAGTCGACTTTTAATTAAAATTTGTAAGATCAATGTATTTCCTCTCTCTTTCACTTTCCGTCATTTTAATCTTCTAAACTCAATTTTTGCTGGAAGGCTAAGCAGAAAGTTATGAACGCGTGACATCGTTAAATCATCGTGGTCGGATGATACCGAAATACTTTGATAAATGTCATTCATCAATAAGGGATCTCATTAAATTCGAAGCGTGGGATGCTAGAGAAAAATCGAGGGCGAAGAGGAATACGTATCTTCGTAGGATCTTGAATAATTTTCTCATCTGGCGCACTCATCTCACTCAGCTGTTATCGTACACGGAATAAATTAATGGCACCGTAGACATATATCGCGCATTATATTTAATATATTTTCTTGCTACAAGCAACGAGTAGATCAAATTGGCTGCTACCAATCGTTAAATGCTACAAATCGTATAAATGCAGAAATTTCACAAGTAATCAAGTAATTTAATTCCGCTCCAGATATTTGAGATTATCGTTTTTTTTTCTCGCACTACGGTAAATTAAAACTCGTTAATACGAGCATGATAATATCGTTTTAAGCGATAAATTGCAAGGAGAACACGCGAGCAGTTCCTCTCATCTTTATTCACTTTTTATGATAGAAATGAGCTTTTTATTTATCACAGTGATGTTTTATTTAAATGTCACTCGAGGTATGTCATTCATAAAAAATAAGAAATGAGATAGAGAGAGAAACTTCATTTTTTTTACGTTAAAATTAAAAGCTTGCATAAATGCTTAAAAACATGCCTTTAGATCTCTTCCCGAACATTCAACTAAATCAGTCCTCTCTATCTTTTGCAAAGATTTTCTCATTTCGAAGCATGCCGAAGATCGAGACGGACAATACTTTGTCGGGCGCCTGCGCGGAATGATTTTGTATAGTGGTCCGAGTACACTGTACTACGGCTTACCTCTCTCACTACCACTTCTCCACCTTATACGAGCCTTATATTGCCCCTTAGTGCCCTTTAGTGTCCCATGGAAAGGCCACGAGGGATCACAACCGCTAAACACGCACTTAAACCACCCCTCGTATCTTCTAACCGGGATCAGCGTTATTACCCTATGATCATTCGACTTCGCCTGTATATCGAACGACGAGCAATCATTACGGCCAATCGATTATTATCGGTGGCCGCGTGACATTTTGATTTTTGCATAAGCGAGGACACGTAATGACACGCGCTTAAATTTACGCGTAACGGAAATCACAAGTGCGATCGATCGTAAGCGTCGCAACAAATGTAAAGGGAGGATAGTAGCGGAATATAATATATTAACAAAGAGAGAGGAATTTAATTTTATAAATTTTTCGAGAGGGATGAATAAAAGTTCTAATTTCAATCTAAATTGAAATGAGCCGCGTATATGAATTGCAAAGATATCTTTTTTTTTTTTAATCTCTGGACAGCGCGCGGGACGGGGAACAAGGCGGGATATTTTATATCGCTTTGAACTCCGTTTGATATAATTTTGCATTCATTGCCAGGGAATCCGAATTATTTCGCAATCTCTCTGAAGTTGCGCTTGATGTCGTTAACGGGTACATTTACGCGCGAAAAAATTTTATCGCGTTTAAACGTATTGCTACATTTTTCTGGTCTTCCGGATTGCACCCCTCCGTGTATTATCGAAGAAAAAATTCGCGATATTTAATCCCGATCGAGGCTGCAACGAGATTTTCCCAACATCTTTTTGCTCACCGAGACCGTAAGGATCAATCGCCTATTCTCGCGAAATCAAGATACATCTCGACTCAAGAAAAAACAATCGCTATATCAGTCAAGATATTAAAATTCCAAGTTTTTTTGCTGTACGTTATCGGTACGATATCTCGTCGAGAAATTTCCTTCGGCTTCTTAAACTTCTCATAGCAATACAACAAGAAGGAAAGTTAATCACAATCACGTTATATGAAATCTTAATTCAATCTTTACCATTATTAATACTGTCGTTTGAATTAAAGTTTATAAAGATTGTTTGATATCGATTTTCTTGTAGAGATTTATTTCAATTTTTAATTAATTTCGTTTTAGAAACTTTATACACTTGTGTTATTTTTTAAATTTATATTAATATAATTTTGACGCCCGCAATAATTAATTGCCTACATCAAAATAAATTAAATATAATGAGAAGTTGCATAAGTCAATAATTTACATAAAATTTACACAAATAATTATCTCGTTTAAATTTAAGCCTTGATATATTTTACGCAGTTATCATCGAATAAATTTAGCATCGTTAATTTCTGGATATAAATTCCATTCAAAAAAGAACTTTTATTCGCAATTAACACAAATCATCATTGACGATTGCTCCATTAATTGCCTATTTGGCGAAAACATAACTTTGTTTATCTTATAATTTCGTCTCATATGAATGAAAGGCGAATTCGCAACATATCTTAACGTTATAACTGCACGGAGGGAGAAGGCACGAAATTTTTTTTGGCATACGTATATCTCATCGGACTTTCAGCGGCGATTTATTTGGAATTTCGTCGACTAGACGTATACATATACGCGACTGGCAATTTTTCCGCTTCAATACAGCCAAATTCGCGAGCGCCGCGAAAGAAAGAAAGAGAAAAAAAAAAGGAAAGAAAGGAGAAAAACGCATGATTCGATGCGCAGCCAACGAAAATGTAAATCCACCGCAACTGTAGCCGATGGTGGCGCGCATCCGGCCGGAAGTAAAAATTCCCCTCGGCTTTATTGTTCTTTGGTCGCTTGCCCGATGTACAGTCGGCTCGTATCTTAACGTGGAATTTCCCCATTTACCGATACTATTTCGCGATGCAGATCGCGACTTCTGAATCCCGGTAAAACGTAAGGATATTGGCTCCGGCGATCGGTATATTTCTGCGGAAATCGAACGAGGAAGAGATGCCCGATAAGAAAATGCATTTCGATTCCTATCCGGAATACGAGCAATTTTTTTCGCCCCCCCCCCCTCCTCCTCCCCGCGTCGTGTCGGAAATTCGCTGTATACGAATATCACGCGTAAATGTATTTATACGTATATAAATTTAAAAATACTAGACAGAGAACGCGGATCTCTCGATGTGTTACAATTAAGAGTTATCCACGCGTAAAATAAAAGATCGATAATGCTTTTGAAATATGGAACATAAAGATGGAAAAAACATTTTTGTATCAGTTTCCTCTGTTTCAAATATTTTGCCCCAAGTGCTCGTATTATTTCCAACAAAGCCCGAGTCAAGGCGAGCTAGTTTTTTATTCTATCGGTACACGCTTTTAATGCCGTTGATTTGTCTCCGCTTTATTCGCGCAAGAGGGATCCTCCCTTTCTCTCGACCCCGCGTTTCGCGACGAGAGTCATCGTTGTACCGTAGAACAGTGCGTCTGTATTAAGCTCTTCTCAGATTATTCTCCAATTAATTAGCCCGAACGATTCTTCAATTGATCCTCGGCGTGCAACCCGCCACCATCGACGAGCTCCAAGAGGTTCGTTATCCTCGATTCGCTCTCACCCTTAGACACGAATGGGTAATGAACTGGAAGGTGGTTCGTACCCCCGGTTGTATTATTAAGATGTTAGATTGTGTTATGCTTGACCGCGCTTTTGGGGATAACGAGGATAATGGAATTAAGAGTGTCGCAGAAACATCTCGATATATCGCTCGTCTGTAACTTTAATAGCGTTATCTTCAATTTGTACTCCTCCTGCGTCTGTAAAATAATTAATTCCCTTGTGATTATTACGTCTAAATAAATATATTTATAAATGAAAAATTAACTTTATCCCTCTATTATTTTCCAGCGTCATATATTTTACATTTCTTTACTCTTTTTATCATCTCTGTATATTCCATGTACGTTTTACATTCCCTCGCTTCTTTTTTTTTTTTCGTTCAGATATAGAAATGCTAGCGAAATAGAGTCGAAAGAATCGCGCCGAAATGCGAGCTTTCGCTACTTTTAAAAGCCCAGTGTCCCATACGGGAAGGCTTTTTTCTCTTTCTCTCTTTTTTTTTTACGAAATAATCATCGATTTTTCCCCGCTTAGCTATCAGCTCCGCTCGGCGTGGGCTTTTTTTTTCTCTCTCTCTCATCGTCGAAAAATCTGACACCGGACGATCCCGCGCGCGTTTTTATCCCCACAAATCACACAGGGGAGCGATGCGGCACGCGATTCGTCGATAAGCTCAGGCTGTCTGCTCGCGGAACATCTATCGTTATATCGATCGCCGTCCGTTCACTCTCTTGCGCAGCACTCGACTGCTGTCGTCAGGACACACACGGCGGGGGTGTTTGTGGATATATGTGGACATATACACAGTGTGCGCAGAGTCTACTTCGGAGCGCCGACAGCAAAACCGCAAACACGCGGCTTGGCGCGACCAAACCTCAAACCAAAGCCAACACTATTGCCGCGGGGGTAAGTAGAGCTTATGTAGTTTCGATGAGCGACCGCGCGAAGGAAACTTCACAAAAAAGGATCGCCCCGTGCCTTCATTCATCACCCGCGAAATCGTTCCCACCGCGAAAGAAATTAACGCCCTTTATTCGCTCTTCCAGTCATTTCATCGATTCCGTGAATGCAAGAATGTTCCTTTTTTAAATATTTTTTTTAAATGCATTTTTAAAAGCATAAAAGGTGATCGTTTGTTGAT